ATAACATTGTTTCTGTAATACTGAGTTGAGATTTAAGGTGTTGTTAAATAGTGATTGGTTTTGTATTATAATTAAATAGCAAGTTTTATTGCTGTTTAATGATGATTTTTAAAGGTAATATTGTGTGCACGTGTGTAGAACTCAAAAACACTAAAATAAAAATTACCTGGATGAACCCTCTTCGCTTTCCTTCTTCTTTCGCTCTTTTCCTTCCTTTTTCTTGGGTTTCTCGGCTTGCATTGTCGATTCCTCTTCGGTTTCCATTATCACGGGCTCTTCCGTCTCCATTCTCACTGGCTCTCTTCGGTTTCCAACGACAAATCTAACAGCCTGAGTTTATCTGATTCAAAAACCCTAAAAGATTGAATAAAGATTGAATGAAGGTCCTCTGTGCGATCCTCGCTCGGGCGTCGTTTGGTTTTTCGAGGAATAAGTTTCTTTCAGGCGCTCAGTTAACTTTTACACGTTTCGGGCCAGATTCGGGCCGGGTCGCGCCGTATACATGCCTCAATTTAATTTTTTAAATTGTGGGGCCCACTATTCCAGGTGTCATCTTTTCGTTGGACACCGCACGCATAATTGCGTGCGGTGTCCGCACAGAATAAGAACTCCAAATTGACAGCCCTGTTCACTTCTCAATGAGTCAGCACAATTCATTTTTGCACCCATGCTTTCACGCCTGCATACTCCATCCTGCCAACACTAATAAGATAACTAGGATTTTACATTTATGAAACATCAAACTATACAAATTACACATTTAAAACTCGAAATTTTAATATTTCAAAAAAGGAGCCGAAAACTCCATTGAAATCTGTTTGCCTCCATGCCCCCTGCGTCAATCCGCGCGGGAAACAAAACTTCGGGTTTAGGGTTTTGCTCATCCGCTATCGGAGCACAGCCTGGGTCATCGCAGCGTAGTGTCACCTCCCAAAAGAGCAGCCCACTCCCATCTTTCTCCTCCTTCGCTCGGCTCGATCTACCTGGGAAGGCAACGACTATCGCGGCGTGTACATAGCTCGAAAACTGCCATCTTCCAGCTTCTCCGCTCCGCTCGACCTAGTTCGGAAGGCTACAACTTGATTACAGCTTATAAATACCTCCGAACCTCCCATCTGCCTCCTCCTCGGCTCCCTTCTTCTCTGGCCTGAAAGCATTGAGGAAGGTAACCCTCATAATTCTTCCCCTCTCTGTCTTTTAGTCCTACATTTGATCTATGCCTTATTGTATGTTTTCAAACCACTAAAGTCCAATTTTAATTAAAAACAGAACGATGGGATCTGTTTCAGATTGATTTCGGGAAAAAAAGGTAGTGGAGTTGCCCTATGATGGTGTGTGAGTATTTAGGTTTAGAGTATCTAATTTGATTTTAGTGGCTTTAGGTGATATTCTAGTTAGGGTATTAATTCCATTCAATGAAATTTTGAATGCCTATTTTTTTCTAAAGAATTTTTTTGTATGTGGTGTTGGAGTTTCTTCTTTTTGTGTTTTTTTTTTTTTCTTAATTTATTTTATTCAATATATATATTTTTTACTTTGAAGGCACCCTAAAGAGTAGTCTTTTATCCATCTCTTGCGGAGGGTAGTGATAATGGCAGCATATTTTCTGTTACTTTTGTTTTAGTGCATGTTACCAACTCAATGATCTGGCTTATTTTATTCAGAAAGTGTTGATTTGGTTATTGATTTCCAACAATGGTTGAGTTTTTGTATGCTCTTTCTGATATTCAAGCTTAGTTAATTTAGATCTTTTGGGTTCTGATTAATTTCAACCCCAAGTTTGATGATAAAATGAAAATCAATCATTTCATAATCATCTTCATAAGTCCTGGTTTTCCGTGTCCTTGTTGTTTTGTTGGCTTCTTTGATTGAGGGAGAAATATTTGGTTGCTGGTTTGATTGTGCTTTTGGTTTTGTTTATTGAGCTTCTGAAAGCGAAGCTCTGCATGCTTCCCTGATCTATCTAGCTACCTGATCAAGGTAGCAGAGTCTACATTTCTTGAGACAAAAAAGACCACATAAGAGCTGTGTGGTCTGATTAGCCTTAATCGAAAGTGTTTTCTTGTTCTCAGTAGGGGTAATTAACCATAGGTGCACCTATGAGAAATCTCAAACCCCAAATCTTAATGTCCTTGCAAAATAATGGTGAAATCTCAGGGTAGTGTTTCATCTATTATCTCATATGCCTTTTGGAAATTTAACACAGCCTCACAATAAACTTCCCTCATCCTCATTTTTTTTTCTAGGGAGACCGATATATTGCAATTTTTTCGGAGCCCACACATCTACTATTTCTTCATTTATATTTATTTCAGCTTTTTCTTTGGAGTTAATGTCATCATTTGAATGAATGGTTTGTTGGTTTACTTACAAACTCATATAGAATTTTTTTTTTCATATTTTTTGTTTTTGTTCATAAAGCAATGACAATGAAATATGTTTCTTTATTCTTTTGTTTATTAGGATCAGGCATCACATGAACTATTAGATATCGAATTCTAATGGATTTGAGGTGTTAAAATGTAAAATGATTAAATTAATGAAAACATTGGCATATAAAATTTTAATTTATGAATAAAATTGGAGACACATGAGAGCTCTTGCCGTCCTTCTCTGTGTCAGTCTTGACACTCAATCTTGTTTGCTGAAGCCTCTTTCTTGTGGTCTTGTTTCATCTTGCCAATCTTGTGCTTGAGCTTAATCCTAAGAATTATTTTTGTTTTGGTTATCATGGTTGTTTATCATTTGATGTAGCAGTTGTTTTATGTTTAGTGATATTTTTATTCATAAATATTAATAATTTGCGCTACAATTAAAGTAGTCTGCATTTATTTCCAGGTCATATTTTGCTGTACAATATAAATATCCTTGTGTCATGTCATACTCCATTTGCAATTTACCCAATTATTGTAACTGAAATATATGTTTTGTTATTTACATGCAAACTATCATATGTGATGTGCCTATAAATTTATTTTTTTAACTTTCATCTTTTAGTATTTTTTACGATGTATTGAAATTTAATATTGAATAGACATCAATGTATGTCGTAAATTCAATTAATGCCAAAATTTGATTATTTCTTTTATCCATTTCTCTAGGCAGGGTTGTGTTTGGGATCATGACTAAGGAAGAACATAATGATGAAAGAGTTGACATGCTAATTGATGTACATGTTCCATTGGATCAACAACCGAACCAAGCATCTCATGAATTTAGCTATGATTTTCTTAAAGTTTATTATGGTATGCATCATTCATATTATGTTTGCTATTTTAATTATCCATGGTACTTTTTTTTTGTTTCATTTACCATCCTTGTTGGTTTAGTTTGGCTAATATTTTTATAGTTTCCATGGTTATATTTTAATACGAGGCAACATCATTAGCTTTGAGGGTTTTCATCACTTTTTCCATATGCTTAAGCTATAAAATATTTTTCGAAATCCTGAGCTCTGGTGCTTGCTAGATGACTCTTTCCTCTTTTCAGACTTAATTTATGAATCTTAGATTGACACTATGCTCAAACCTTAGTTTCACAGTTTTTGCATGAGATACACGAGTTAATCCAAACCACAATAGAAATGAAATTATTATTGTTGAAATTCAAACGGTTGCAACCAAGACTCTAGAGAACAGGAAATAACGACAACAAACACAATGACACTAGGACATAACAACAAAGTGCCCAACACAGACCCCAACTACAATTAGGGTGAAGATGGTGACATGGTAGCTGGTAGGAGGGGCTAGCTGAGAGGGGTACGGTAGCAGGTTGGTTGGAAGGTGGTTTTGGCAGCAAGGGGAAAGGCAACGGGCAGGCTGCAATCGGCTGGGTATACGACACAATAGGGAGGGATTGTGGGAAAGCTACCAGATGGCAGGAAGAGTGGCTAGGGATGGCGTTTGGGAGCAGGGAAAGCTACCAGATGGCAGGAGAGTGGCTAGGGATGAGAGTTGGGAGCAGGGACGTGTGTTGGGGGTGACGGCTGGAAGGGAGTTTTGGCGGGAAAATGACAGGTGACAGAGGGATGAGATGCAGTTGACAGCAGGATTGCTGTCGAGGGGGAGTGGGAAAGGATAGCTATCCCTGCGGGGGCGAGCTAGGAGCTACACCCGGAGCAACCATCGAACCCTTGTAAAAGATAAACACCTCGGACGAGTTACAACCGAAACATATTCTCTTCGTCGGATACAACCTTAGAGGGAAAATTATGACGCTGACGGCTGCCCAAGCAGAGAACTCAGCAAAAAGTGCAGCCCTAGACAGCAGCACATATATTTATGATAAGTAAAATAGGTGGGAGGAGGAAGGGCATCAGATCCGGCCTCATTAGAAGGCTAGCTAGTCCAACCTCCCTGCTGGACCAGCACTCACATGCTTGACTGACCGGTCCAGTCCTCAGCCACATGTTAGCATGATTTCAAAGCATATATTTTCTTATATCTTCTGCTTTTTTGTTTTAAATCTCTCTTTTGTGTAAGAAGAATAATTTTTTTATGATATTTCTAATAATATGTTCCTTTAAATGGTTAACAATCTAATTATATATATATGAGTGGAGATAAGTTCAAAGGGCTTCGTTAATTTGATAAAAAGCCCCAGTGACAACCGTAGCTTGTGAATGAGAACAGGCTCTGTCACTTCAGCTTAAGATTATTAAAGATGAAATCAACGTTTCTTTTTGACAATGCGGTTGGATGAACAAAAGAAAGTATTAATTTTGTTTGAAATTTTATTGTTATTCTGTGAACATAATTCAACAAAGTTTTGTATTTTCTGCAGGTTTAATCCTTAGCCCATTCAATTTATTTACTACATAAACCCACTATTTTGATTGGGATCTTGCATTCGCTTACTGGTTGTATGTTCTCTCATTGCAGGAAAGCTCTTTCCATATTCTGATATTTTCAGGTGGATGTCTTATGGGAATGGTATACAGAAATTGCTAGTCTTTTAATGTAATCTTTAGAGCCAATTCTCTCTTCTTGACTTGTTTCTACTTTGCTTCTGGCACTTACTCTGCAGATGGAAAGCATCCAGCATGTGATGCATCCTACTTCAGCAGAAGGGAATTTTCTTTCACCTTGGAGAACGATGTGTACCTCCGATTTCAATCATTCAAAAGTGAATTTGAATTGGAGAACTCTATTAAGGAGAAATGCCCTCACAAGATTGACATAGGACCCGTGTATAGTGTAGATGTATGATCAAACACCTTTTCTACTGCAAAAATTATTTAAGGGTTTTCCTCTTATAATTTACAGGACTTGTCTTTTAATGTTTAAATTTTTAACTGACTACCCTAAACATTTTTCCACAGCCTTCAAAAAGGCACGCATATGCACAAGCTGGAAATAATGTTTTCACACCAGTTGAGAGGGAGCTCATTTTTGATATTGTAAGCTTATTATATTCTGGTTAATTGAAGTATACAAGTTATAAAGATATTTGATTGTTTTTTTTTAAAATCATTTCTTTTTGTTGACAACAGGATATAACTGAATATGATGATGTTAGATACTGCTGCTCTGGTTCAGATATCTGCTTGAATTGTTGGCCCTTAATGGCAATTGCTATTAAAGTGATAGACACTGCTTTAAGAGGTTTAACTAAATGTGCTATTTATTATAGTACCTAAAAGACACCTCTTTGTGTCAAATATTAGGGCCCTCTTGACTATATATTTGTTGCTTTATTGAAGTGATTTTTAAAACGTTTTAGCTACTAAGGATATCAGCTTAATTAACTGTCTTCTTATATCACAGATGATTTTGGTTTCAATCAAATTTTGTGGGTATATAGTGGTCGTCGTGGTGTTCATTGTTGGGTGTGTGATGGTAGGGCAAGAAGGTAAAAGAAGATGTCACAAATAACCCAAAAATATGCATGCATATTGATAGGCGCGCCTTTTTGTGTCCCATTTATATCTTTTAAGGAATTAATATGGCTGTCTTAATTTCTCCCAGGCTGAGCAATGAAGTGAGGTCATCTATTGCTGACTATTTCCATGTTTATAAGGTGATTGCTTGGCTTGTGGATTCAGAACGAGTTCTTTTTTAAATTTATGCCCTCATCAGTTCTGTTTTATCTTAGGGTGGTGAAAATAGCCTGAAGAAAGCATCATTAACGGGTCTAGCTCTTCACCCTCTTCTTGCGTAAGTAGCTTGTTCAATATAATTTCTCATGCTTTTATAATCTTATATCTACCTGAGAAGATTTCCTGCTTTGAAAATTTTACCAGGAGAGCATACACCGATGTTTTGCTGGACTATTTTGAGAGGAAACTGATACATAACCAAAGGTTATTTTCTCTTGAAGAGAGATACCAGAAGATACTAGATATCATTTCAGATAAATGTAAGCCTACCGTATTTTCCATCTTCCACCCAGAAAAACATTCCTATTTTCTGATATTTTGGGCTCTTCAGCTGTTGCTTCAGAGATACATGAGAAATGGCAAGGGAATAAGAGATCTTCCGTTTCTGAAGAAGTCCGATGGGATCAATTGAAGAGTGTGTTGCAATCCACAAAGCATAAGGTTTGCCTTTAATTGTTCTTACTCAAAGCTGGTTTCCTCATTGTAATTTCCAATTTGGACTGTAGAAGCATTAGGGCCAATGAAACATACCGAAGAGACAAAGCATTTTGAGATAGCATTGAATTATTGGAATCATTAGTTCATAAAGAATGCTGCTTTCATATATTATTCAATATGAAAATTAGGGTCCGTTTGGCGTTTTCAAAACGCCGCTTAAGCGTTTGCTTGCTGCGTTCTTTGGAAACGCAGTTTGATGTCCTTTAATAGACGCAGCCACGAGATTGACCCCGCGGCCCGCGTTTTCGATCTCGCGTCGAGGTTTATTTCCTCGCGTGCCCCTGTTTGTCTTCTCCCTCACTAAGTGTTTCACCCCTGCATCACGGGTAGGATCTGCTCCTGTCTTGGCCATGTCGTCATCCTCCGTGATGGCAGCATCGGGTCGTAAGATCTGCTTCAAAGTTCAATGAAGAAGATGATAACGGACCAAAGTCATCGGAAAGGATGGAAGCTGCGGTCCGGCGAGCATTCCGATCTTTATGAGTGTTGCTAGTACGCAAGCACACCAATCCGCCTCCCCTCTTCGTATGTTTTTGCGTTATTTTTTCAATTCCCATTTATATGCTTCTAGATGTTGGGGGATTTGAGCTCATGACCTGTGTAAGGAATGCTTCAACTGTAAGCACCAATCTTTTTTCCCTTCAGTTTTCGTTGGTGGACCTGTGCTTTTTTGTTGCTCCTTTTTTTTCCAAGTTTTGATAAACTTCTTCTTTATTCTATTTTTTTAAACAATATAAAATAATACAGGAGGAAAGTTAGATGCCAAAGCACATGTTATATAGATTTTGAATTTTAATTCTTATCGTGATATGTATTAATACGTGACTTTAAATATATTGAAAAGGGGAAAAGAAGGGACGTTGCTTGTGACATGATTCTTCTGCATTTTGAAATTAATATTATCATACTTTTAATTATAATTTTAATAGGTTTTCTCCATTTTTTAGGAATTTTGATGCTCACTCTTAAGTCGGTTGTATTTCTTTTTTTTTTTTTTGTCTTGTTATAAAATGGTTTTTTGCTTATAAACTATCAAATATATAGCTATGACAGTTTTGTTGCAAACAACACTACTGCATAGGGGTAGAATAGTCATCAATCCAAAAACAACTATAAATCAACTATTTTCCAAACGCACAAACCAAACAACCAACCAGCTTATTCGAATAAGTTGCTGATCAGCAACTTATCTGGATAAGCTGCAGCTGCCCCAAAATGACCCTTAATTGGTAGAACAAAAATGGAAGTAGTTGATTCTTTTTCCAATGTTTCTATGGTTTCAATTGCCTTCTTTTTTTTTTTTGTGGGAAATGCAGCTAAGGCTGCATACATTAATCTGTTTTGAAACTTTATGTTGATCCTTTTATCTTTTTTGGGTGCTGCCAAGAGCATTGGGGATGGGAGTCAATAAGGATCTGTATCATATGTGAAGTGAGAAATGAAGATCACTAGATCTATTATGTAACTTCAAAATTAAGTACATCTTGACTAATTTTGATTGTTTAAATGTGCGCTGCTTGTGATTGAGATTTTACTCTTTAATTGAGGGCCTGATGAAGGTTTAATAATCTATCATATATGATATTTGTAGTTCTCCATCTTGGATTCTCAATAACTGGTTGGAATCTATTTTAATATTTTATTCTTATTTCTTGATTTTAATTTTGCAATTTTAAACTCATTTACATTGCTTACACCTTATTTCTGGCAGGGTCTCCGAAGATGTGTAGAAGAGATTGTTTTCACTTATACCTTCCCAAGAATTGACATGGAGGTTTGTAGTATTCTTCTATCGCATTGGTTGGTACGTGTTTTGCATTATTGATGTAGTTTCTCGTGAATTTATGGCGATTATTGCTCAGGTTTCGAAGCATATGAACCATTTGCTGAAGGCTCCTTTCTGTGTACACCCAAAAACAGGTTGACACATTTAAGGCTTGTTTCAGATTAACTTTTGTTTTTTCATTTTTATTTATTTTTTTCCTTTTTTTATAAATGTTTGTTTACATTCTTTTTTTTGTTTCTCAAAACAATTAATAGTTATTTGAAAACACTTAAAAACAACATTTAGGTGTTTCTAGTGTTTTTAATGTTGTTTTTAAAAATAACTATATCTTAATCAAATATGTCAAATATGTTTTGTTTAAATAAAACATAAATTAAAAGAAATTATAGGAAATAAAAAACAATAGTGATCTCAAACGCCCTTTAGCATATGAACTATTTATTCTTACTATTAGTTGCCGCTTACAAGCATTTATTTGTGTCATGCTCCAGGACGTGTCTGTGTTCCCATTGATCCTAAGTATTGCGAGGATTTTGATCCTACATCTGTGCCAACGCTTTCTATGGTAAGAGTTCCATAATAGTTACTGCTCATTGAAACTAACTATTCTTTGAATTATGGATTCTAATGTTCTGTAATATGTTGGGCTGTATTACTTGGTTTTTTTATCTTAAAAAATTAGTTTTCTGCAGCCTTGTCGTGCGTATATGATATATTATTCGTCAGTTCCTATAATTTAATACAACATTGATGATTCTCTTTTCGAATGACAGGTGCTTTCTTTTAATGCTGCACTGACTGCCATAATGAACTTAGTTTTCTCTTCTAATTAAGTCTTAGCAAATCTTGAACTCGAATGTTGAACTTGATAACCTTTTAATGCTTCTAAATTTGTCAAATGTGCGAAAGTACATATTTTCTTTCGAATTTTCAAGATTCATATAAATTAAGATTAGCATTTGTAATCTTTTGAACCCATTGGGCGCTCTGCATTTTAGCCTTTTATGCAATTTCAATACATAAATCGCAAGTTACTTCTCAGGATTCTCTGGCTCTATTTTAGAAGTACAGCGTACCTAATAACTGGCAACTTTGTACCAATGTCGTTCCCTTTCTCAGGTTAAAGCTTTAGGCAAAAATCATTTTGGTTCTGCATGTTAGACTCATGTTTCTAATTGCGGGTTTATATAATCAAATTTACCTGGTCTTCACTCCAGTGAGTTAGCATTGTGACGAGGTATAAATGAGCAGATTTTCAAGATGATGTGAGTTTGTTCATATTTGGCTTGTTTGAAATTTGGTGTATTTTATTTTGTTTCATGTTTGAAATTATTCATGTTCTTCTCATTAGAAATTGAATTGGAAATTAGCCAAACACGAGCCTTAAAGATTTTGTTCAACAATTCCAACCGCAAGAAAACCTCCACAAACTCTCAACATGTATCCCGTGCAGGTTACAATTTTAAATGGCTAATCTTTGTATTACAATTTAAATTGTATAATGTTAATTGTCTAAACGATATGAGATTTAAGAACAAGGAGCAACATATTTTAAATTGTAATGCTATTTTATTTTGTTTTCCTTAACTTGAGGAAAAACTTGCACCGATTTTGGAAAGATTGTCTCATTTTATACTCATAT